ACACTTCGGGCTCCCCTCCCCGCCCCCAACCCCAGGCCTGCGGCCGTTCGGGAATCGTGAGTTTGTGCTTCGGCACCTCTGGCCTGACGGGTCCGCCAGCACCGCGGCGGGAACCTCGCGCCTCAGTCGGCGCAGTCCGCCCGCCGCCCGGCACGCACCCAGGTCGCAGTGAGGCGGCAGGCCGCTCTTCTCGCGGATTTTCTCCTCGCTCAGCACCAGCCGCCCCGCCGGCGCCATGCTTTCAAACGGCGCGCACCTGCCCGCGCCTGCGCACTAGGGCCGCCAGGGGCCGCGGGGCGGCGGGGGCGTGGTCAGAGATTCGGGGCGGGGCCGGGCTTGAGGGGCGGGGCTAAGGACAGCAGTCGGGTGCGGGAAAGCGGTGAGGTCTCTGGAAGGAGGGGCTATGCAAAGTTGGAGCGCGCCCAACGGCTTACCCGGGGACCCGTCCTCCCTGGGGACCCGCCCCACTTGGAGACCCCGCCCCACCTGGGGACCTCCCCAACCTGCCCACCTCCAGATTTGCCGGTGTCCTGGGTTCCAGGTGCCCCAGGTTCTGCCCATGGCCCCCTCTACATGCGGTCTCGGTGCTCTCCCGCCGCGGTCACTGGGCGGCTGCAGGTCCTGCTCTGTCCCTTTCCTCAATTTCCAGGCGATGAAATCTGGAGTCTGAACTTGAAACTCACCAGCTGAGCAAGGGGTTCACAGAGTGTCCGTCGTCCCACTAGGCCTTTAGGGAAGACCTCCATTCCAGGTCCAAATCAGCCCCAGGCAGCCCAAGCCCTACGGTGCTCCCTCCCTCCCAGGCCTCCTGGTGTCTGGGGTGCCCCTACCACCTCACCCCACATTTGACTGGCTTGCTGGTAACATCCTCCAGCGTGTCACATTCTGGGTGGTGACACAGAGGGGTGGAGATGGGGCTGTGGGCACAGAGGAGAAGGGGAGGTGTAGACAGGATGTCAGCACGGGGGGGGGGTAGACAGGGGTGTAGGGGAGGGGTATGGGGGTGTATGCAGGTGGTGCATCAGGGTACAGAACCCCCCCATGAGCAGGGCAGAGCCTCAGGACTGATGTGCCAGGCTCAAGGGGTCCTGTGTCGAGTGGCTCATTGAGACCCGCAAACACCCGGTAACACTTTGAGTCAAGATTGCTGTGTAACTGACCAAATTTCCATCCAGATGCTGCCCAGGGTTCTGCTTCGTACAGGACCGTGGAGGGACTCTGGCACACCTGAAGCCGGGAATGCAGTCACCAACCAGGTGTCCCCTGAGTGGAGCTGTTGCAACCAGGAGGCTAGGAACAGTGAGCAAATATCCTGGCTTTCAGAAGTAAACAGAGGTAAACAAAAGGTTTGTGTCACTGCCCCCCAGAGAAGTTGGCCAATGCCCAGCCCACACCAAACACGGCTGCTGCCTCTTGCTGCTGGTCACTTCTGGCCAGGCAGCCCAGTCTCAAGCTCTCTACAGCTTTCTAGAGCATTCCGCAGAGGCTTCCAGACCATCATCCTCGAGCCCCAAACCACAGGGTCAGTCTGGAGGGGTCCTCCCAGGCACTGGCAGCCTGGGATGTCTTGGAATTTTCCTATACTTTTCCAAGTGTGGGTCCAGCCTAGCCGAGTCCAGGCAGTTGGTGTAGATGAGAGCAGATCAGGGTGAAGTACAAACAGAACCTGAACTTAATTAACTGGTTTCCCAACTACAAAGTGAGTGAGAGTTCTGATAGCCATCCCTCTTGCCTCTGTCATCTGTAACTATCAACTGCTGAAATGGTCACTGACTACTGACTGAACCTGAGTGCAAACTGAACCTAGGTGCTATCAGAAAAACAAAACTGTAAGGAGATGTTTGCCTTCAAGAAGCTTACAGTTTATAGCACAGCATGTGCTTGAAACGCTGTTTCGGGAAAACTTTTGTGAAACTGAAAAATGCCCCTTTTCCTGCAAAGAATCCATGCAAAATCCTTGGACCCTATGAATGTTACCTTTACAGCAAAAGATGAGCTTAACCTAAGGATGTGAAGAGGAGTGCATCCTGGATTTTCTGGGTGGGCCCTAAACGCAATCCTGTGTCCTTAGACAGAAAGGAAGACTCGGAGAGACACACACACTCAGGACCTCGCAGGATGACAGAGGCAAAGGTTGGGGTGATGTGGCCACAAGCCCAGGGATGTCTGGAGCCCCCAGCAGCTGGAAAAGGCAGGAAGGACCCTCTCCTAGCCCCTGCAACACCTTGATGCCAGACTCTGGCCCCCGAGTCTGTAGAGACTAGTTATGGCCGCCCCAGAAAACCTACACACACATTCCAAATTCAGTTGCATATCAAAACACAGGGCTACCTCAGCAGTCACCTCGGTCTGTCCTCTTATGTACAGAAGACTGGGGCTCACAGGGGTCACATGCTCACCAAGTCCCAAGGATGCCAGCTGCTTTTATCTGGGGGACCCCTGCTCTGCAGGACATTCCGGGTACACGTGGTCACAGTGAACCAGCACGTGAGAGCTGGGAAGAGGCTCCATGGACAGTCCTGTGTCCCTCACATCTCTGGGCGCCTAGTGGGACAGGGAGGCCCAGCCAGGCCCTGTTCCCACTCTGCTGTCAGCTACCTCTCACCCCAGGCATCTCGAGAGGACCCGAGGGGCAGGTAGAGATCTGGCCTCGTCAGCCACACAGGTGTTTTCTAGACCAATGGCCATGAGGATCCCGCTGGGGAGAGGGTGACCCTCGTTCACGCCCGTTTTACCAGGCAGGGATCTGGGGCTGGAAGGGAGCACCAGCTTCCCGATGTCCACACCCAGACCTGACTCCTCACCTCAGCTCCTCACCACTGAGGGAGACCGCTCCCAAAAAGACCCTGGGATGCTGGCCTGGAGGGGAGGCCCTGCCATCAGCAGCCTGCCACAGTGGGGCCCAAGGGCCCGCGTTCTGGTGGGGGCTCCACGCTGGAACTGTGTCACTCAAGGTGTCCACCTCCCCCAGGACCCCAAGGGAAAGACCAGGTTGTCTCCTGTGGGTTATATGCGCTGTTTTCTGTACTGATTTAACCTCGAGTGACCTTTTTCAGAGCTCAACCCCTGGGAATGATTTTCTTCAAAGGTTTCTTTTCAGTCTCAAGGAACAGGAAGCAATATCCTTTCAAAAACCAATTAGCCACATATTTTTGCTCATTAAATAAATATTTTTACTTTGGACCCAACTGATTTTTCAGATAGCAAACAATGAGGCTGACTCACCTGTTTGCAACTCCAACGCCCTTTCCTCCTGGGACCGTTGAGGTCCCCGGGGGCGGTGACGCCTAGCCTCGGGTGGGGCCTGGCCGTATCCCACGACACACACCCCCCCTGAATCCTCATCGACTTGGAGGACGTTTGGAGGTGGGCTTGTAACTTGTGATGTGCCGTCTTCCTGGAACTCTGAGGTTGGGGCACAGCATGACTTGCCTGGAAGAGAAGGATGCCGAAGGACTAAAAGTGCTAAGGAGACAGGTGAGCGGGCAGGAGGCACCTGCAGGGAGGCTGCGGCTCTCACCACTTCCACTGGGGGCGCCTGTCCGAGCAAAGAGCCGCGGGCCAAGGGTGGCAGTCACACCAGGGAAGCGGCTGCAGAGGAGGAGCTGGCTGGCGGCCACTCCCGGGCCGGCCTGCACCCCCAGCACCAGCACCTCTGAAGCCAAAAGCCGAATGAGTGTTTGCTCCCCTTTCAGCCACTTCTTGTCTGGAATCACTTTTCTGCTGATCCCGCTTAACCTTCGGGGGCGTTTGGTCTTTCTCCATTTTTGTCCAGAACTGCAGGATTCAAAACCAAACGGCAGGTTTACACAAAAGTGTATTTCACGTAGTTTTTTTTAAAATAAGTGTCATATCAGATATTTAAGTGATTTAATATTTAACCATTCATTAAACTAAATAGTTTAATGCACTTGAATGGAAATAGTCATAAGCTACTCAGCCATAAATAAAGAACAAAATAAGGCCCTTTGCAGCGACATGGATGGGCCTGGAGATGGTCGTTCTAAGCAAAGTAAGCCAAACAGAGAAGGAAAAGCATCATATGACACTTTTTATATGTGGAATCTAAAAAAGGACACAAATGAAGTTATTTACAAAACAGAGACAGAATCACAGACATAGAAAAAACTTATGGCTACTGGGGGGATAAAAGGGGAAGGGATAAATAAGGAGTTTGGGATTAGCAGATACACACTACTGTATATAAAATGGATAAACAACAAGGTCCAATGTACAGCACAGGGAACAATATTCAATACCTTGTAATAACCTATAATGAAAAAGAATATGAAAAGGAGTATGTATGTGTATGTGTGTAACGGAATCACCATGCTGTACACCAGAAATTAACACAACACTGTAAATCGACTATAACTCAATTTTTTACAAAAAGCAAATAGCCATAGGTATTGGAAGAATAAATAATTAAAGATTTGGAGCAGAAATTCAAAGGAGCAGAATAAACGAATAATGGAAATATATAAACAGCTTTCAATTTTTAGTACTCAATTTTGTTGTTTACACATTCATAAGTTGATTTATTATTTTTGGTGAATATTAACAGATTCATTTAAGTGGTTCATTTTCTATTTTCTAATTGCTGAAGTGAATGTGGAACTGGTTTATGGGATAATTTCTAACCCACACTAAAGGCTGTGTGTCATTGAACTCAGTTAACATGTGAGAAGGAAATACTAGAAAACAGATGAAAGCCATACCACAATATTCAAAGGGAGCTAAAAAGAAACAAAATGATAGAAACTGAAAGAACAGCATAATCTAGAGACAGAAAATCTTAGAAGTGATTGGAGGAAGTGAATATTTGAAAAGACAGATGACTAAACTCAGGAAAGAATTTAAAATATTTTTAAAATTTAAAGAAGCGAGAAGCAACACGGCTATTAAAAATCACAGTGGATATTGCCTGAAGAGAAACAAAAGAAATGCAGGAGAGGGAGGCGAGGATTCTAGCCGAGGCGACAGAGAAGATGGACAAAGGGCGTAGACACACATCTCTGAGGACAAAAAGTGATCCTGGAAAGCTTCCTGGAAGAGGAAGAGTCACCCGAAAGCATGTTCTGGAAGAGTTCATCGGGTTCTGGGAAAACAGCCCAGAGTGACCAGCACGGAGGCTTTCATTAGCAAAGCTGGTGGACGTTGCAGGAGAAGAGGATTTATTCGGTCATCAAGACAAAAAGACCGAGTCGCTGGTAAAGGAAAGAAAATCAGAGTCCTCGTCTCACCAGAAGATAACGAG